CCCCCACGATGGTGGTTTTGCGGGGTGGGGGTCAGTGGGGAGGGGATTAAGAGGTGGGGAATAGAGGGAATCCGAATAGGAACCTCTGACCGCTTCGGCCGGGGCCGAGGCGAATTATACATACTTACCTGTACCTGTACATCACATGTACATGTGCTTGTATACATACATGTATGTATCTACGTATGTATGTATGCATGTATGTAAGATACATGCATGCATGCCTGAATGTATGCATGTATGCATGTATCTATGTATGTATGTGTGCATGTGGTGCAATCTGGAAGCTCAGGCGTGTCGGGCGCACAGCCCCGGCATTCAGCAACGGGAAGGCCCCGGCGAAGGCGCCCCAGGCCACACGGTGGTTAGGGCGGGCGGAGTGGTGTTGAAGATTTCCACTGGAAGGGCCCTGAAGTCAATATCGGGGCCTGAGGACGAATATCTGCTTGAGCAAGTCCTTATATTCTTGGCAATCGTTTTTTTCAGTTCATGACTTCTACTCAATTCTGTTGGTTCTCTTGCTGAATTTCTGCCATCGGCGCGAATCGACTCCAAGTTCCGGCAGGGTTTAGCGTTCAGAGTGCAGTGCGTCGGGAGCAGCATCAGGACTTACCGGGCGAGTTGTGGAGTCGCAGTGGCAAGTTGGCCCATGTGTTCCAGAGCACTGAAAGTAAGGCCGTCAGGCCATGTCAACACCAGGCACTCGAGGCAGGAATCAGATCCGCCAACATACCATATAGTATCCCTGCAGGAGGCATCGTTCGTGTCGGCACCCGTCGCTCGACGGCATACCAGTTGGTTGGAGGGGTGCTTGTTGATTGGACTCTAGCAACTTGTGCCCAGTGCACGACGTTTTGGTCTAGGTGGTTCGAGCGGGTCTCGTACAGGTGCGGTGTCTGCTCTCTCCTCTCGAGCATGTTCAATCTGTCAAGAGTCAGTCCTTGGGATTTTGGTGCACTTGCTGCGAGTCGCAACATCATGAACGACTGCTGAGCAGAGCAACTCGTGCCACTGCCCGTGAACTCACTCCGTCACTGGAGGTCATTCTTGCTTGTGTAGACACTCGAGCCAGGCTGCCCATCGGTCCTCCCCCCCCACCCCGCATAGTCCATTCTGTTCTGCGCATGAACGTGGCTTTGAGACACGTTTCCAGGCGTGGCTCTGTTGCATTGGGGGTCATGACTGAACCAGGTTGCCACAGATCAACTTAGCTTCGAGTGCATCAGGATGCTTCAGGCTTGGTCTTTCGTCTTTGGTTGTTGTGGTGCCTTTGCGCTCTCGGTGATGGTTCCGGTAGAGGTGCAGCAAGGATGCTTGCTGCATGGTGTGGCGTGAGACCTTCGGTATGCATTCGGATGTCTCGCTGCTTCCGTCAAGTCCTGACGCTGCGGGCAGCACAATTTCCAGATGCTTTCGCGAGTCAGCCATCTGTCACCAGTGAAGCATATTCCAATGATCCAGTATTCAAGCTGCATGGGGCGCAGAAAGGCCGCGTGCTGCAAAAAGCAATCTGGAACTCCTTGGCTAAGTCCAGTCCATCCACGCAGTTGTCTAAGGCTTGTCCTGGTTCGCGTGTAGATGGCGGCAGACGGGCACCCCATCAAGCGGAGTTCGATTTCACTCGTGGTGGGCGCCGGGTGGAATGCAAGGGTGCCAGCATGACTTGGCACGCAGCGCGACATTCCTGGTACGTGCAATGGAACCGAATCAAATTCAACCAGGCGTACTTTGACGATCTCTTTCTTGCATTTCACTCCCCGTGCCAGGTGGACATCATACTGCACAATGGTCTTGCAGGCGTGAGTAGCTGGGGATCCCTCACACCAGCACTGGGTCATATGGTTTCGTTTGCCGCTGGCAGAGCCATTGACAACCCAGCGAAGGCACGCCAACAGATTCTGGCAAAGATGCTCCGCCCCTCCCACTTGTGCAAGCATTTTGCGACGCTAAGTTCCGAGAGCTTGGCAGAATTGGTAGCAGAAGAATTTGCAAGAGAGAGTTCAGAAATTACCCTGTCGAGGTATGCGGGCATTCCTTTGGCAGATTTAAGCGCCTGTGCAAGAGGTTTGCGCCTACAGGAGGTAGCCTTAGCAGTCGATCAAATGCTTCATCCATGCAGCACTTTCAGCCGTGATGATGGCAGCTTCGGGGCCAACGCTGACTGGCTCCGCGACGACGTCAGAGTCGAGTTCAAGTCTTCAAGGTTGTCCTGGAGTAGCCGCGAGCATAGCTGGAGGTGCCAGTTCCGTTGCATCAAGTTTGCCAACTCAAGTCCAGAAAGTCGAGCCGGCCCGGCTGCTTTCGACGAACTGTGGCTTGGACTGTACAGCCCCCGTGGCCTGCATTTCCTCCAACATGGTGGCAGGCTTGGACGTTCGACAGCTGGTGTGGAGACCGAACTCGTGGGTCATTCAATACTAGTCTACGGGGCCCGTGGCCATGAATGTCTGGACACAGCTCTGGATTCAATACTTGGTAAGCTTCAGAGGTCTGGCTGCAAGCTCTTGGCAACTATCGCATGGTGAAATCGGGGTTCTAGCTGTGCCAAGAAGTCGCGACGTTCACCTAGCACCTTGTGCAGCTGATGCAGCTGTCTCCTGCCCTCCACGCTCGTTTGGCAAACCTAGAGAATCCTAGAGTCAGTGGAAGCATGGATCCATGCTTTCCTCCTGTCCGATGAACGACATAGCTCTTCTGGGACTGAAGTGTCTTCATGCCAGTGTTGGAAGCTGTGCTTCGAATCCCACAGAAAGATAACGCCTTTTGAATCTGAGGCCCCGAGACGCTCCGAGCCGATTCAGATGTGACCTGCTGCAGAGATTGGGGGTGTCGGGGCTGGGCGATGTCAAGAGGGCTGAAACCTTGTCGCGAACCTGTCAAATTTATGCCTTAAGTACTTCAAGCTGGACCAACTGCTGCTTCTGCACAGCCTGTTTGTTACTTCGACCCAGATGGTCGTGAATTTAGTTTCGAAGCCTTTCAGTATGGTACTCGTAGAGGCATTTGCCGTGCGTTGCCCTGCGCTTCAGCACTCGCTGTATGTTCCCCCGTCGCCCCGAGGCATTCACATAACATGTCCCGGCGCATCTCCTACATTGAAGAGGATTGTGTGCAGTTTTGGTTTGGGTTCGGCGGGGTTCGTATATAATTTAAGGCCTCAGTGAGGGTCTGTGATTCGGATCCAGGGGTTCAGTGTTCGGGTTGTGCCTCGTTCTTCCAAGATTAGATCACTGTTCCTCTCAAAGTTGAGTTCGTTCATAAGGTGCATATGCCATATGACAGGCTCTCTTGACAGGACGAGGCTGTGTCACGATGTGCTATGCTATAGGCCTGATCCATGAATCCTCAGACACGCCTACATGTCTCCTTGATCGATTCAATGCTAGGAAAACAGGCTCGTCGGTAGAATCGCAGTGCCTTGCAGAGCTAAGACCGATTCTCACTTGTGATCAAGAACCGAGCGCCTAAGAACCGGCTTGTCGGGCTTGATCATCTTCTCAATTGGGAGCTACAGGGAACACACGGAAGTTCAGGGTTCCGGTGTTTGGGCTTAGGGAGTTCATGGTCAAGGTGCTGGTGAGCCTGAAATGCCTAGGCCAGTAAGTCTTGAATCCCGGTCCTGCAAGCCACGAAGCACGCGCCCATCGTGCAGGACATTCAGCGCAGCTATAAACGCTTGGATTCTCTTCCGGCGAAGGCATGCCAACGCTCTTTCGGGAGAACTACAGCCGACAGCAAATAGAATGTAGAACGTCGTAGACGAGGCTACCGGAGTGAGGATATCTTCAGCACCGAACACGTGAAGACACCAACGTGGCCGCACCCCGTTTACGAGGTGGTCTAGAATAGATGCGAGTATTTCAGGCATCCCGAATCCTCAATTCCTCTTGCAGTTCAAGTGAAAGGAACAGCACCTCGAACCGAGATGCAACACACACATGCGCAGAGAGAGAACCAGAGCTTCTCGTCGTCTGTCGCTAGTGACCCGCTAGTGCAGTATACACACGTGTACGAACCTTCTTTCCCCGGCAGGCGAAGGCCTGTACTATCTGCTGTCCATATCCTGTCCGACTGTTTCTACAGTACATCCTCGACCCAACTACGTTTCACCTGCCTAAACCCTGGACCCTGAACCCTTCAACCCTCAACCCTAAAGCTTCTTTCTATCCCGTAGGAGTGAACTCATACGGAAGCCTTAACAGCCCCCAGTCCCTGAACCTTCGCGGAGCAGTGCATAAAGCTCGGACGCCCGAATCCTTGAAACTCCAAGCCCCAAAGCCCCAAATTCCTGAAGCCCTTACAAGCCAGAAAGCCCTTGAACCCTGAATTCTAAAAACTGGCTCAAAAACAAAACTTGTACCCCGAAGCTGCTGTTTATGATCGTCGGAGTGACTTGAACCTCTGCCTCGGGGAGGCGCCGCAGCCTGACCAAGCCACCTTGCAGTCCTGTGGCTGCAGATTCAGTCTTCGGGCTTTTCTATCTGCGACTTACGTGGAATAAGTTCGACCCTCGGGGATTCAGGGGTCAGATGTCCAGGTTTAAGGGTTGTAGGTGTGATATTCCGTGATTCAGGGTCGAAGGTGGCCATGAATGGTGTTGCCAGCACTGTCGTACTGCGATCGGCTGGGCGGCGCAGTTTCTGCGAGAAAGCCAAAGCTTCTGCAAATCTGCACTACACATGAACGTTCTGCGCAAGATGGTCGGGTTGAGACCCTGAAAACGGTCTAGACTACAGAAGCATATTTTTTCCTCAGGGCTCCTTATCCCCAAACCCTGTTTTAATTAGTAAGGCCCTTGTATTATAGGAAGGCGTGGGATCTTGCAAGAAAAGGGGCCCAATTTCGTGTGTCCATGCCCCAAACACAAATTCAAAGCTTTACTTCCTAGGAGATGCCTCCAACCTACAGCCTCCAAGTTAGAACCAGTTTCTTGGGGTGCCAAGTTCGCGAATCTTCGCACCAAAGTGCATTCCGCCTAGAGGTCAGGAAATGCCCTAAAGGGCGTCGATCACCAACGGAACCCACGCCCGGAGCCCTAAAACCCCCAGGAGAGAATACGAGCTGTTGCATGCGCAGCTTACCAGTGAGGCCCTCTCAGAACTTCTGGGAGAAGTTTGGGGGTGCTTGTGGTTGGCTCCATAGTTAGTGCTTCCTCCGAGGCGGTTTGCTCCGATGGTAATCCTTAGGCCCTACTGATCTTCAAGATGCCTCGCCTATTCTAGGCTATTCTATTCTATTCTATTCTATTCTAATCCTATTCTGTTCCCTTATGTTGGGCTTTATGTTTTACCTTTTGAAGCTTTCATAGCATAGTCGAAGCATGTCAATATGGCCTGTTCACTTCCGGCACCTGCGACTCCAACCGTCCTGCCCGTTTTGATTGTGACACACCGTCAACTCATGCCCAGCCGCCCGGATTAATGGTTGCGGGAAGTTTCGCAAAACAGGACCCTTCAGGGACGTTTCTTGGCAAGATGTGATGTGCTGGTACGTGTATGCATACATAGGGGCATAAATGCAGACCCATACATGCATGCATGCATACCCCTACGTGTGCTATTATTGTGATTATTACTCGATCATTATTATCTTCATTCTTTTACTTTTATGACTATACTCACTATATGCTTTTTGCTATTGGTTATTTATGTTTTTAGGTGTTCATATCATCACCGTTATCGTCACGGCAGCTATGATCATCATTGTTTCAGAAACTAATTTCCAGCCCTGTTTGATCTAATGGCTGTTGTTCCCGAACTAGTATTAAAAATGAAAAAGCATTCTGACTAGTGTTATTTATAGTTATATTATTCTTGTCATTGTTATTGTTGCTATTACTGTTCTTGATTATTATTCTTATGGTTATTGTCATTGCTACTATTCATCGCACTATTGTTATTGTTCTTAATACCAGTATTGTTAATCTCGTTATCATTTTCACTTGTGATTGAAGTTTGAGCTTTCTGCCGCGAGCCCCAAGACCGTTAAAGCTCTAAACCTAAACTCGGGACCCCAAGGACACCCGAAAGCACCTAAACCCACAAGCCCCCAAACCAAAACCACCAATAATCCCAAAACCCGAAACCCTAAATCCGAAACCCGAAATCCCTAAACCCTAAATCCGAAACCCCTAAACCCAAAACCCTAAACCGCAACTCCCTGATGTCGTCCTGGATTGCAGGTGGCATTGCGCGCGGCTGCCGAGGCGAAGTTGAACCGTGAACTGGCCTGCAAATGGTCAGAGGAAAGCCCATGATTTAGAGTTTAGAGGGTCTTTGATAGGGTTTTGCGATTGTGAGGCTTGAAGATAACAAGGGTTTAGGGCTCAAAATAATAGGGTTTATGAGGCTTGAAGAGAAGATGTGGGATTTATGGTGGTTTAGGTGTTTGCGGGTTGAGGGTTCCGGGATTTCTGAGTCAGGAGGTCTGGGGTGTCACGGTTTGGGCTTGGGGTTTCACAGTAGTAGTTTGGGATTTGGTGTTCAGTTACTCTGGGTCTGCCAGCGTTCGGGCTTGACTTCTATGGGTTTGGGTGCAACAGCCTGCCATTAGAAACTGCAGCGGGGAGCTCACTACTGAATGACTGCATAGCCATGTTTGCCGAGTTTGCATGCTGTGGGCCATTGCGGGCTTCTTCGTGTCAAATGGTCATGGGTTCAGGATGGAGGATTCTTGTTGGGGTTTGAGGGACAGGCTCTGACCGCTTCGGAGTTTGGGTGGGAGTTTGGGTGGGGTAATGGGGAAGCATGAAATACGCGTAAGTAGGAAGTCCAGTGCTTGCATCCTGAACCTCCGGAGGAGGAGGAAAAATGGAGTATCAGCTACCTCAACGAACCCAGGGTAACAACCATTCGCCTCAAGTTCTCACATGTACCATACATACATACATACATACATACATACATATATACATACGTACATACGTACATGCGTGCATACATACATACATACGTACAACATACATACATACATACATACATACATACTTACATACTTACATACATGCATACATACATACATACATACATACATACATACATACATATGCATATGTATACACACACACGCACCATAGTATATTATACACCCTGACAGAGACCATAAGCTTGTAATCCCAACGTCTTCCCTTTCCCAAAGCTGTAGGGCCAGATAGCCCAGGTGTCGAAGCACGACTGGTGCAGGACCTGGGGCTCTTAGCTTCGGAAGACGAAGCCTTCTACAGGATTTTCAGGCCTGTAGCCTCACAGGGTCCCGCAAATAGACCAAACCTTCTTCTTAGTTACTATAGAAGGCCCCGACAAACTCCTGCAATTGATTGTTGATTGCTGAGTCTGAATAGTCTCTCCAGGCTGTGTGTTTCAGGATGTGTCAAAGCCTCACTCAGTTCATTGGATCACTGGGCCTGCGCCATTCGACCCCAAAACCAAGCCCTAAACTAACACTCAAGGTCGCCAGTTCTGCGTCTGCAACAGGACCGCAGTGAACGATCTCAAAGGATGACTTCCATCAAAGCCGGCGTTGAGCA